GAGAGCACCAAGGACCTCTAAAATATATAAAAGAAGGATAAAAGCACAATGATAATACTCAGTTGGCTAACTGCCTCTCCCTTCCTTTGCAGGAGAGTCCATCCCAATTCGGCTCTTCCTGGCTGGCTATGAACTAACTCCCACTATGAGGGACATCAATAAGAAGTTCTCGGTGCGCTATTACCTCAATCTGGTGCTAATTGATGAGGAGGAGAGGCGTTATTTTAAACAGCAGGTGAGGAAACCGAATTGTCTTGGGGGGGATTTGGGGGCAGGGGTCAAATCCTGAGCAACTGGAAGCTGAGTGGACTTCAACTCCCAGAATTCCCCAGCCAGCCAATCATAATGGAACCTAGAATTCCCATTATAAGTCAAGACGATTGTAAGTCAAGTATCCTGACTTACATGATTTTATGACCCTTTTTTTTGTGCTGGTTGAGCAAAAGCCACCGTCGTAAAACGGGTCAATGTCCTACGGGCGTTTATTGCCCTAAATGGACCCAAAATCCTGATATCTGGCCAAAATGATAAATCATGCGACCACAGAACACTGCAACCATCCATAAATGTTAGCCAATGATCTGGGGGATTGTATGCCATCATCATAACTCTGAATCCGGGTCATAAGTACCTTTGGTGTGGAAGGTCTGCCATTCCTTTGCTAAGTGAGTGGTTCTTAAATGAGGACTACCTTTATAGTCCAGCACAATCAGATTGGCTCAGTGGCTAAGACGCTGAGCTTGTCAATCAGAAAGATCGGCGGTTCGAATCCCTAGCGCCGCATAATGGAGTGAGCTCCCGTTACTTGTCCCAGCTTCTGCCAACCTAGCAGTTCAAAAGCATGTAAAAAAATGCAGGTAGAAAAATAGGGACCACTATTGGTGGGAAGGTAACAGCGTTCCGTGCACCTTTGGTGTTTAGTCATGCCGGCCACATGACCACGGAGACGTCTTCGGACAGCGCTGGCTCTTCGGCTTAGTAATGGAGATGAGCACCGCCCCCTAGAGCCGGAAACGACTAGCACGTATGTGTGAGGGAACCTTTACCTATGGAGTTGATTTCCTGCTGACATTTAAGGATATCCATCAGAGGTGGCATTCAGCCAGTTCTGACCAGTTCTGGAGAACTGGTAGCAGAAATTTTGAGTAGTCCAGAGAACCACCTCTGATTGGTCCCGCCAACCCCATCTCTTCTCTGCCTCCCATCGAGTCCCAGCTGATCGGTTGGGTCTTTGTTTGTTGCCCTGCACAGGAGAACGGAGCTGGAAAGCAGGTTAGTGGGGTGGGGAGGGAATGGGATTTTGCAGTAACCTTCCTCTGCCACACCCACCAAGCCACACCACGCCCACTAAACCACACCCACAGAACCGGTAGTAAAAATATTTTTTGAATCCCATCCCTGATATCCATGCATTCACTCTCTAGTGTCTCCCTGCTTAATGTAGAGCAAGGCCTCTGGTGCACATTGCTGCCCCTGCCCAGAGTTTTTCAGAACAGCCAGGCTGTCCAGAACGATGGGAGTTGTAGTCCTAAGCTTCCTCTTCTAGATTAGCACGTTTGAGGTTGTCCTATCTTTCTTCTTCTTCTTCTCCTTTGGGGCGCAGGAGGTAGTGTTGTGGCGCAAAGGGGACATCGTGAGGAAAAGCATGTCCCACCAGGCCGCTATCGCCGCGCAGCGCTTCGAAGGCACCTCGTCCCAGACGGAGAGCAGAGCCCCCAGCCAGGCTTCAGAGAACAACGGGCGGCAGTGAGGGGCCCTCGAAGGAACCGTGGACCGGTGGGGGGGGGGGAGAGCGTCGAGGGCGGCTCTTCCGCCAGAAAACTTGCAAATGCAAAATTGTCTGTCAGGTTGTCTTTCTGTCTGTCTGTGTTTCGTCTTTTTATCTTGAGGACTAGCAGCTTAACAGGACCGGGGAAGGGGGTTGGCACACACACGCACGAAAAAGGGGAATACTGTGGTTGAGTATTGTGGATAAGCTAAAGGGTGCCAGGAGAGATGGGAGTTTGGGATGATGTGTTGGAACAGGACGGTGGAAAAATACTTTGTTTTGAAGAGTGTCTCCGTTTTTCCCTCTGTTGGAAGCCGCGCACTTCAACATGACTGCTGCCACAGAGAAGTTCGACCATGTATTTAACAATCACCTATGAGTATATTCCCCAGGCTTTGGATGGCTGAGATGCGCAGGCAATCCCAGGGGATGTGTCGGTGTGCTCAAAGCAGCACCCGTTCTTAACGTCACCCAAATGGAGCAGCTCTCTTCATTCCTGGCCCTTGCACATTGGGCACATTGTGTTGTGCACGACCTCATCACGGCTTGTTCCTGGATGCTGAGAAGTTTCTTTGTGTTTTGGCTTCTGGAACACACTTTGCTCCTGAGGATTTTATTGCTAGAAATTTTTAAGTCCTTGAAAAAGAAGGTCTTATCTTTAGAGGGGATAGTGCTATGTTTCTGCACGATTCTTTGTTTTTTGGAAGCACCTACACGGGGAAAAAAATTACTGAGGGTTGAGCATCGTGATGGACAAACCACTACGCCTGAAAAGGAAAGAGATGGAAAGGCCTGAATCGTTCAGGGCGTCAGCGGGGAACCTCCATGGAGCAGTTTTTCTGCTTGTTGATTCCGACGCACCCTCGGCAAGCGTCTGTCTTTAACATGTTCAGTATTTGTGAGCAGTATTGGGTGAAAACAGTTCTCCCTAGGCTGATTTTTGCAGAGAGAGGGAGCAACAATTTTGCTTAAATGGTGATGACTAAAAAACACACTGTCCTGGTCTCAGTCAAAAGTTATCCTTTGAAGCCAGAAGAGAGAGAAACGATGGCCCTTTTAATGACTTGTGGACTTCAACTCCCAGAATTCCTGAGCCAGCATGGAATTATTACCTTTATTGTCAGAGTACAACATGTGTACACAGTGAGGACAGAAGTCCCTAACCCCAGTCCCAATCTTATTATACCGTGTATCCTTGTTGCACAGCGCCCCGGCTCTGCAAGTCTACCATACTATGTTGACATCAAGTTATTTTCCGTTCAGGAGTCTGACAGCCCACGGGTAGAAACTGTTCTTCAGCCTGTTGGTGTGGCTGGCTATGCTTCTCTATCTCCTACCCAATGGTAGGAGAGCGAAGAAGGGCTGGCCGGGGTGTGAGTCGTCCCTGAAGATTCCCCTCACTCTTTTAAGGCAGCGAGCCCTAGGGAATTCATCTAATGCAGGGGTCGCCAACCTTTTGGACCACAGGGACCACCAAACTCATAATTTTAAATCCCGTGGACCGGAGACCCTGGAAAAATCCCCCCAAAGTCTGCAGGAAAATTCCCCATCCTGTTTTCCTACCGATCGATCGATCTTTATTTGGGATCGCAGGATACCATCTCCAGCTCCGTTCTCAGGGGGAGAAAGAGACAGAGAGAGACTTTTGGCTTCATGCAAGGAAAGCAGCAGAAGCCGCAGAAGTCTTTCTTTTTCTCCCCCAAACTCCGCCAGAAATGAGTCTTTGCCGGCACAGGAGGCCTTGCAGGGTCCCAAAGACTCATTTCTGAGGAAGTTTGGGGGAGAGAAAGAAAGACTTTTGCTGTTTTCCTTGCGTGCAGCCAAAAGAAGAAGAAAGAAGCGGAAAGAAGCATTGCTTTGGGGGTGACATTTCTCTGCAGACCACCAAAATTTTCTCATGGGTCACCAGTGGTCCTCGGCCCACTGGTTGGCGGCCACTGATCTAGTGGTATCAGGGAACAGACCACGATGTTTTGTGCTGTGCTCACCACCCTCCGTAATGTCTTTCTGTCTGTGGCTGTCAAGCCAGCATACCACACCGTCATGCAATATGTGAGGATGCTTTCTATTGTGGACCGGTAAAAGGAGATCATCGGTCGTTGTTCCACTTTATTCTTTCACAAGACCCTAAGGAAATAAGAGTCTCTGTTGGACCTTTCTGGCCACCTGGGTTGTGTTGATTTTCCAGGTGAGATCTTCGCTGAGGTAGACTCCCGGGAATTTAAAGGAGGAAATTCACCACACAGCCCTCCTTAATTGTGGGAGTTGAAGTCCACAGGTCCAAAGGGCCATTGTACCCCACCCTTGTTGTAAGCCCAGTCAAATTTACTTCCTTTCTCCAGATTCCCAAGAATTCTGTTGGCTTCTCACGCTTGGGATTTGTAAAGTCTGAGCTTGTGTGCGGTGAGAAAATGGAAGAACCGCCTACCCTCCTCTCAGAGGAGTTTCTCTGTTGCATCTCTGCTTGATATACTGTTCTGGATTTGTTTCCTGCTGGGACAGCGTGTGTCTGCTGGACCATCCGGCTGTTCTTGTGCAGAAAACTTGGTTTTGGAGGAAGATGGCCCGAAGAGCGGATCATGGACACAAATGTCTTCTGTGAACTATGAGCCACCAGCCACCTAACTTAGCCATGTGGCCCCACCTGTGATCGTTCTCCTCCTGCTTCCTACTTTCACTTTGCTTTGTGAGCTCATTCAGGCTAGAAAGATGGAGGTTCAGTGGCCTGCAGAAGAGATTCTCCCACCTTTCCATGCAGAGAAAGCAAATTTTCAACTTTAGCTGAAGATATCAGCGTACGGAATGAGCTGAGTACCTCTTAACGTAGTGCAAGATGAATTTTCTTGGATTCCTCCCCCTTCAAAAGGAATTAATAATAACAGAAAAGAATAAACAGAGTTGGAAAGGAACTTTGGAGGTCTTCTAGTCCAACCTCTGCTCAAGCAGAAAACCCCGAAGCCATTTCAAGCAAATTAAGGACAGTTGTGGCCAGTCTTAGTCTGATTCTTATTCCCTGGCTCCATTGTGTGATACGTTAGCACTTTCTGATGGATTGAAACCATGGGTTATTGTTTGCAAATGTTCTCAAAAGAGTGTGAAATCAATCCATGTTCACTCTCATTTAGCAGCATGGTCAGTACTGTCTCGGTCCATTTTTGGACTTCAGCACTTTTAGGATTCCCCTCGTATTTTAATTCTTTAAAAAAAATAATTTTACATTATGTGTGCTCTTAAATCGGGGTGGATTGTCCGGGGATTTTGTGTGGCTTCCATTCTTGGTGTTTGCATCACCAGAATTCAGCAACAAAGGTGCGTTTTCCCCCACCACAAATTCGGGGAGAGAAAACAAACGAACTGTGTTAAGGCTGCTGATAAATTGACTTATAGCATCTCGGTTGCCTTTTGTTTTTAAAATAATTGTGTCTAAAATAGTTGCCTGTTTCTGCCATACGGGATGAGAACTAGAATTGTGAACTACTTCCTCTAGCAAAGAAGGGAAATTACGGTTCTACTTGCTAATGCTATTTATAAACTACTTGTAGTATATGATCTGAATATAAATCGAATAAATAACTGAAAGGTAAGTAGCGAATGGTGATGGCCCTTCACAGAAGTGTCTGCAAAAACATGGAAAGATACAACAGCCCCACTTTTTTTTTTGTTTTTGCAATAAAGTCAGGTTTCTAGTCCTCATGGATGTTGGCATCTAAAAGTTTGTTCAGATTTCAGAAGTAGCAATTTCACCATGGAAAATTTCCGTAAGTGGGGTTCTTTTCTCTTGGCCAGAAAAGTGACTCCGTTGGGCAGAAGCATGAGAAATTTGAGTGCTCTGGGGTACCGCTTTGCCTGCAGACCAATGTGGGAAAGTACCTCAAAGCTTTCTGCAACTGGCGTCTTCTGGATATAAGACACTATTTTGCACTCGAAAGATTGAATCTGCCCATTTTTATATTCAAAAGAATATAATTCATTGTCCAAAAGGTTGAAATTTCTGGGTAGGCATTATTGTTATTAAGCCAGTTTGGTTTAAAGGTGGCTTCTTGACCAAGAGAAAGGAGCCTCTAAACCATGTTTAAATCACAGTGTCCAAGTTCATCTTTCACAATAAGCCGACATCAAGCGAACCACAATATGACTTAGAGCACTGTGTGAATCTGGTGCCTTGTAAATCTTAGTTATGGATTAGCATTAGGTGTGAATTGAACCGTTATAGCCTAATTAAATTGACTGCAGCGAATAGATTATACTAAGCATGGTTAGAGCAGATAGACCTTAATTAAAATAAACTTCAGTTACCAAACCATGGTTTAGTGCAGTGGCGCACATTGGAGGCCAACAGTCGTATGGAATTCTTGAAACTTTGGGAGTCCAGAATGCTTCCAAAAGTCATCACTTGATTGAGATAGGAAAATGATTAATTATTTGAGGAACGGACTTACTAACTGTACATAACTTAATTTTATTCTATTTAAAAAAAATGTGTATATATTTTTATTCTGCTCCCGCCAGTTTTTGTTCTGGCCTCCACTTCACGACCACAGTGGAGCCCAAAATTTCTCTGGCTAAGCGAGACAGTGGAGTGAGTTTTGCCCCATGTCACAACCATTTTTGCCACCATTGTTAAATGAACCACTGCCATCGTTAAGTTGGTAACGGTTGTTAAATGAACCTAGCTTCCCCGTTGACTTAATTGGGCCGAAGGTCCCAAAAGGGGATCACACTGCAACCGTCCTAAGTATGAATCCATTGTCAAATGTCTGGATTTTGGTCATGTGAGCGTGAGGATGCTACTATGATGTGAAAAAATGGTCATTGGTCACTTTTTTTCATTGTAACTTAGAACTAAACAAACCGTTGTTAGGTTGAGAGCTACCTGTATACTAGCCTCCTCTGAGGATACTTCACAACCTTCTAATATTTCCTCTAGAAGAAGGATGAAGATGGAAGGTTTTGTGAGTGGTACCACCATTTTTTCTGGAGAACTTTCATGGACAACTTGAAACTTTTCCTGTTCTTTCCAAGTTTCCTTCTTCCGTTGCAGCATCATTGCCAAGCCAGGATGATGACAAAACTCTCCCATCATTTTCTCAGAGAACTTCAAATCTTGGAGACTATAAAATGTGTTCTTTTTTTAACAGGTTCAAAAGAAAATCCATCTGTTGTCAAAAGGAGCGTGGACAACTTAAGTAATAGTCCGGTTTGCTCTCAGCTCATTTATTAGGACTGTAGAGACATTTGACTTGTAAAATGTAATTTTTAAAAAGTTTTCCAAAACAACAGATGACGACCTTGAAGTAAGGCGTGATAAATCTATACTGGACTTTTGAAAGAACCATTCATACTGTGTACTTGCATTCTCTGTGATAGTCTGGCTCTGAGATAAATATTATTTTGAAGCTGCTGAGAAAATAAACCTGCTCTTCCTTTTCTTCTCCAGTCTTAGGAGACAAACTAGAAAGATTTTGAATGTGAAATTTAGCTACTATTGGTCTTCCAGGACTGGGACATAGAGGTGTAGACACACTGAGTTATTTTGCAGAAAATGAAAAGTGGAAGAAACCAGGACGGAGTAAGAAATCCAGGTTTATGAATAGCGTGTTCCTTGTTCTGTCTATTCCTCGTTACTTCAAGGTGTGCTTTATTTCCATGGATAAGGTCCAGGAATTTATGGTGATGATACGAAGGGTCTTTTTGGTCTACCCCTCCAGACAGGCCCATGCAAATTAAACTAGACTTAGTGAATTTTGAATTATGAAACATATCCTGTTGGCTGATGTAATGATTGAAATGCTTGGGATGGAGAACAATCTTCTCCAAGGTTGTGTCCTGCAGATGTGTTGGACCACAACTCCCAGTAACCTTAGTGCAGGGGTCCCCAAACTTGGCCACTTTAAGACATGTGGACTTTAACTCCCAGTATTCCTCAGAGTTGAAGTCCATAAGTCTTAAAGTTGCCAAGTTTGGGGACCCCTGGTCTTGAATCTAGATGCTAGATAGGCTCTGCAAAAGTGAAAATCAGTTAAGCCCCATCAATTGCTTTAGCAAAGTATCTGAATCCCACCTGAACAGAAACAAAAGAGAATACATTATTATTTACAACTGATTTATGTTACACAGACAGATTGTCGTCTGAAGTGTTTCTACATACCTCGCTTATATTCGTTTATATTTTACCGTTTATTCTCCCTTGTCTTCTGTTTTTTAAAGTTTGATATATCATGTTCAAACTATTTAAATATTTTATGGGAGAAAATGGCCGTGCTTTCGAGTCATGCCATGTTTTGCCATTTCGTTCACCAGTTGGGCATTGAAGACTTGAAAGCTGAGCCTAACCAAAGGGCTTGGTGGGATGGAGTCAAGAATTATCAGGTAAAACTGATTTTCATTTTTGCAGAGCTTGTGTAACATCTAAATTCTAGACCATGGGTCCCCAAACTTGGCAAATTTTAAGACTGGTTGAGGAAATCTGGGAGTTGAAGTCCACAAGTCTTAAAGTTGCCAAGTTTGGGGACTTCTGCCTTAATGGCAAACCAGGTGAAAATCTTTAAAAAAAAACACACACAGCACATTTAGCAGGCAGAAAACTACCCCTACATTTCCGGTGATTTTCAAACTCAGTTTCTACTAAGTCCTCTTGGCAATTTAGGAAGTCCTTGACTTAAGACCATAATCAAGGCCAAATTTTTCTTTTGCTAAGCAAGGCAGTTAAGGGAGATTTGCCCCCATTTTATGACCTTATTTGCCACTGTTGCTAAGTGAATCACTCAGTTGTTAAAACGAATTGTGGTTAAGCAAATCTGGATTTCCCCATTGACTGCTTGTCAGGGGCTGGCTAGGGAAGGTTGCAAATGGTGATCATGTGACCCTGCAACTTTATAAGTACATGCCAGTTGCCAAGTGCCCAAATGTTGACCACGGCGATGCTGCAATTTGTCAATTCATAAAACACTTCTATGCCTGTTTTAGAGTTGCCATGAACAGGGGAGGAAGGAGAAATTTGGAGGAGCACTGCGGCAGTTTAAAACCAGAAGTTTTAACCATTCCTATCTTGCAAAGATTGTGACTAAGCTACCAGAATTTCTGCCCCGAAAATCCCTAGTTGGAGAATGTGATTGATGACTCTTGGTTATGAACGTGTTTCGTTGGAGAATATGAATTATGATATACCCAGCGGGGTTGGGGGTGGGGAAACAGGATCAGAGGTAGTGTCTCAGAATCGGCTTTGTACAGGTCATGCCGACATGTTTGCTCCTAATAAATCCTTGGAAGCTTTTGACGCTTGGCTCAAGGCTCATGATTTAATTAGGGCAACTTTTGTTCAGTGTGAAAACTGGAGGGAAAGTCACTTTTTCATGCCTTTTTAACTTTGAACAGGAACTAAACAAATGGTGGTTGAGTCAAGGGCTACCTGTATTTATTTCATCTCAGTTCCAGCTTAGGACAAGTCCCCTAGTTTGTTTCTGGGTTGAGACAGTAGGGAAATACAAAGTTGTAGGTAAGAAATGATGGGGATTCCAAAACGTTGAGTGGGAAAAAATATATTTGGGGAGGTGAGGTCCAGAAGGGGATTCTATAGTAAAGCTTTGTGACCTGATAATTTTAAGCCTGGACATTGTTTACATGTTGCTTAACCCATTGTCTTTTAAATGTTTGTATTTTTAAAAGGATGGGAAGTTTTCTTTTGACTCCTAATTTAAAAGGTGGGGGGCCAGTTCTCGCGCCTTTGAAAAGTTAGTGGCTGGTGTGACTTTTTCCCAATTGTGCTAACTAAGGTTGGCTTTCAAACGTGCCTGTGGAGAGAAACTCAAGACAACTCTGCCCTGAATCAGCTTATTTGTTTGTTACCGTGCCTTGATTTATTTTTAAAAATAAGGCAGTTGAACAGATCCGACACACCTTCCTCCTCTTTACCCCACAACGACAACACTGGGAGGTAGGTTGGGCTGAGAAGGACTGGGCCCAACTCGCCCAGGCAACTTTCATGTCTGAGGTGGGACTATAATTCACCGTCTCCTAGTAATTGACTCAGTCACCCAGCTGGACTTTCATGCCTAAGGCAGGACTAGAACTCACCATCTCCCGGTTTCTAGCCTAGTGCCTTAACCACTAGACCAAACTGGCCTTTGCAGTGCAAATTTTTATTGGAAGGAGGGAGAGGCATTCCACTTATGCTCACACGATTCTCTGAGATTTCCTCAGCGCTTTTAACATGAGAATTGAGACCTTGTCTTTGTCTTGTTAAAGCAACAGGCAGCGTTTGCCTTTTAAAGACAGTGTGCAAATAGAATCACCCAAGATGCACAAATCTATCCTTATTGGTTTGTTGGGTTGGTTTGTTCCAGACTTGAATTCCTATTCCTAAATCATGTTGTTATGACTTTATTCTGCCTTAGAATTGGTTTGCGTTTTTGTCGAGACGTATATTTCTATACAGGTGTTGTGCAATGTTGGCACTTTCTATTTTATGTGCATTTGGGAACATTTTGCACATAAGCTCATGGAGTTTCATGGGAAAACCTGCGATAGTTTTAGACAGATAATTGCGGCATTTTTATTTTAGCTAACAGAAACGAGTTAATTATTAAATTGGTCTCTTAAGTGCAAGATAATTCGAGGCCTGTAGAACATTGTTTTCCCTCCCTCGGAAATGTTTTTAAAAATCACTTTAAAAAAAACCACATTTATTTAGAAAAGGTTGCACTGCAGTCAAAAAAGGAAGTAAAACAAATTGAACAGCAAACTCTCGCATGCTTCACTCTCCATTGGGGTTTCGAAAGGAAGCGGTTTTAAAATCAGTTCCCCTGAACCTCTTTTGTCCCCTTTTCAAGGCTCAAAATGAATTCAAACTCCTCTGGAGAAGAAAAAGAGAAAAGTCAGTCAAGGTGCCCTGCTCGATTTACCTAACAGAGCTTTTCTTAACCCCTGGTTTATGGCTTAGCGTAACAAATAGTCCTCGATGTACGGTGAAAATTGAGATTGAGATTGCAAGGCAATGATTATAAAGCACATCCTGTGACCACATCCCATAAGCGACAGCAATTCAGGCAGGTGTTAACCCAAGACATGTGTTAAGTGGGAAGCGGAGAGAATTCCGGTAAGAAGCCCATAAGGGTGGGGAATGGGAGGGCTGGGTCAGGCTGCACATGAGTTGTGAGTGCTGTTGCAGTTTGGTACAAGCTCACAAGCTGGGGAAAGACGGTGTGTGTTCGCGCGTGTTTGTGTGTATGCAGGTGCAGACAGGTTGGGGAAAGATCACACCGGTGGGTGTAAGTGCAAAGGGTGGAAGAAGAGGTCTGAGGGAAGGAGGAAGTGTTAGGAAGACGTATTGGGGCAACCTGTGACTTATTTAGGCTAACCACAGTTTGCTTAATAAGCAAACAAACAGGTGGGTTGACATGTCTGGCAACCTTAAAAAGAGTTAAAAGGGGTAACTGCCGGAATCCTGACAATACCATTGTAAGTTGGTTTGGCTTTACCTCGGCCCAAACTTAACTAATTGTGCCCCCAATCCGGTCGCCTGGTCGCCGCTCGCTCGTTTGCCCCGCCCGATGCCTGATGCTCCCCCGCCCAGTTACTCCTTAAGGTGTTTTTTTTAACTTCCCAACAATCAGGATTCCCCTCCCTTCTTACTGCTTTGCCCAAGGAAGCTCCCTGAGAGCAAAATTGCCCCCCCAAGGCCAGGAAGGTCCAAAAAACTGGGGTGGAGGGGTGGGAGTGGTGCTGGAAAAAAAAAGTCACACCCACCCAATCACATGGCCATGCCCACCTGGCCACGTATGTTGTGGTTAGCTGGCAGCAGGTGCAGACGGCTGAGGAGAGCGAGGACTCAGATGAGGGGCCAGGACCATCAGGGAGTGGACTGCTGCCTTCAGAGACTATGGGGGCTGGCAGCAGTGATGAGGAGGTTCCCGAGGAGCCTGTGCCAAGTGTGCATGCGCACCGGGCTGCTCGCAGGAAAGAGCAGCTGCAGCAGCACGGGCGACTCGGGAGTAAGGCTGCAAGGTAAATGGCCCCTCCTTCAAGAAGATAAAAGCCAGCTGTGAAACAAACGTACTTTGCAGAAGGCAAAGACATTTTGAAACTCCAGCCTCGTGGACATTCCAGTATCCTGAGTTTGTATCTGAAGATTCTTGTATTGCACATTATTTCTTGTCTGTCATCTTTTGACAAGTCCCTCATAGTTTGGCAAGACTTGTGCTTATCACGGCTGATTATTTTCTAAAAGCATTACAAGGTTTCTGTTCCTTTTGGATGGTGTTTGATTTATTGGAAAAGGGCGTGGGTCAGAACACGGTAGTAAAAAAAAATTGGAATCCCACCCCTGGTCATAACGATATACATACCAGAGCTAATCAGAAGGCGCAAACTCAGCCTCTGATTCTCTTTAAGTCCTTACCATCCGTGACGGGCTGGATGGACAACCTCGGTCTTGTGAAGAGAGCCATCTCTTTCAGAGGACCTCCTGACTTCTGGTGGGCTTGATGGTGGGCCTTGAGCTCAGCTAGAGGGAGGAACCGGTGGGTCATTCGCACAAACTGGACATCGACCTGCGAAAGCAAAAAGGACGGATGTGGGTGGGGTTCAGGAATTGGCATCGTTGCTCACCGGAAGTGACCCCCCCAGTAGATGTTGGTTCCTCAACTGAAAAAAGATTCAGGGGACTCTTTTATAAAGACGTGTTTTCCAACATTGGCTGCTTTTAAGATAGGTGGACTTCAACTCCCAGAATTCCCCAGCCAGCAATTCTGGGAGTTGAAGTCCACCTATCTTAAACATTGAAAAAAAAAGTGCTATAAATAATGAACTATAAATTTCCTTGGTTCCAGCCAATTTGCACTAGGAAGGCTGTAAGAAAATCATTCTCTGCTGAATTAGATTTAGAATTAGATTTAGAATTAATTTACATTTAGAATTAATTTAGATTTAGAATTAGAATTCATTTAGGATTAGATTTAGGATTAGATTTAGGATTAGATTTAGAATTAGAAATAGATTTAGAATTAAATTTAGAATTAGATTTAGAATTAGATTTAGATTCAGAATTAGATTTAGAATTAGATTTAGATTCAGAATTAGATTTAGAATTAGATTTATAATTATATTTAGAATTAGGACTAGATTTAGAATTAGATTTAGAATTAGATTTAGAATTAGATTTAGAATTAGATTTAGAACTAGATTTAGAATTAGATTTAGAATTAGAATTAGATTTAGAATTAGATTTAGAATTAGATTTAGAATTAGATTTAGAATTAGATTTAGAATTCTTTATTGGCCAAGTGTGATTAGACACACAAGGAATTTGTCTCTGGTGTAAAAGCTCTCAATGTACATAACAAAGTGACAGATCGTTAATCATAGCCATTGTAAAAATGCATTCATCATAAAACATTGGATGCAACACTTACTGTAGACATGGATACTAACCAAGCAAGCAATGTACACAAAGACAAGAAACCACCCTATAAACTCTATGATGGTACTAAATTCTGAAAAACTGGTGGAAACTTAACTAAATACAGGTAGCTCTCAACTTACAACAGTTCATTTAGCGACCGTTCAAAGTTACAACGGTGCTGAAAAATGTGACTTGGGACCGTTTTTCACAGTAGAGACCTGTGCAGCAGCCGCATGATCACGTGACCAAGATTCAGATGCTTGGCAACTGGCATGTACTTAACGACGGTTGCAGGGTCCTGAGGTCACGTGATTCCCCTTTGGCGACCTTCGGACAAGCCAAGTCCATGGGGAAGCCGGATTCACTTAATAAGCGCGCTACTAACTTATCAACTGCAGTGATTCATTTAACAACTGTGGCAAGAGAGGTTGTAAAATGGGGCAAAACTTACTTAACAAATGTCTCACTTAACAACAGAAATTTTGGACTCGATGTTGTACGTCGAGGGCTACCTGTAAAAGGATCCATACTATTTTTCATCTCACTGGGAATTTGTTGTTGGATCCCCTTGCAATCCAAAGGAGTCTTCTCCAGCACCAGAGTTCAAAGGCCTCCATTCTTTGGTGCTCAGCCTTTCTTATGGCCCAACTTTTACATTCATATATTGCAACTGGGAAAACCACAGCCTTGACTCTACACACTTTTGTTGGCAGGGAATAGTAAACTGATTACCAGGCACAGACATAGTTTGGTGAAGATGAGGCGGGACTGAATTAGAGACAGACCTTCGCAAACCACAAGGGGCAGATGAAATCTATCTTACCATGGACCATCTGGGGTCTTCCTTTGTGCTGGAAGCATCGTAATGCGGATTACCTTTCTCAAACTGGGTGTGATCTGGGTAAGCTGCTTTAGCAATCTAGGGAGGAAAGGGAAGAGAGGATCTCGGTTATTGCAGCCACAAAGCAAAAAAACATCCTTTGAATGAATGAATGAATGAATGAATGAATGAATGAATGAATTCTTTATTGGCCAAGTGTGATTAGACACACAAGGAATTTGTCTTGGTGTAAATGCTCTCAGTGTACATAAAAGAAAAGATACATTCGCCAAGAGTCAAGAATCATCAGGTACAACACTTAATAATAGTCGTAGGGTACAATAAACAATCAAATCATACTAGGAAACAATCAAATAGGATATTCGAATATAGAATAGAATAATGAATGGAATTGGAATTGGAATTGGAAAGGGTAGGGTAGGGTAGGGTAGGGTAGAGTGGGATAGGATAGGGTAGGGTAGGGTAGGGTAGAATAGAATTCTTTATTGGCCAAGTGTGATTGCACACACAGGGAATTTGTCCCGGTGCAAATGCTCTCAGTGTACATAAAAGAAAAGATACATTTGTCAAGAGTCAAGAATCATCAGGTACAACACTTAATAATAGTCATAAGGTACAATAAGCAATCAAATCATACTAGGAAAAGTCAATAAAATTGTAAGGATACAAGTGACAAAGTTACAGTCATACAGTCACAAATGGGAGGGGATGGGTAATAAGAGTGATCAGAAGATTAATAGTGATAGTAATGCAGACTTTGTAAATAGTTGGACAATGTTGAGGGGATTATTTGTTTAGCAGAGAGATGGCATTGGGGGAAAAACTGTCCTTGTGTCTAGCTGTTCTGGTATGCAGTGCTCTGTACCATCGTTTTGAGGGATGGAGTTGAAACAGTTTATGTCCAGGATGTGAGGGGCCTGTAGATATTTTCACAGCTCTCTTTTCGTCTTTCACAGAGGCAGTGCCTCAAAATCAAACATTCTGATCTTAATGTTAATTTTATTGATTGTACAGGTAGTCCTCCACTTATGACCACAGCTGAGCCCAACATTTCCGTTGCTAAACAAGGCGGTGGTTCAGCGAGTTTTTCCTGATTTTTACGAACTTTCTAGCCACCATTGTTTAAGTGAGTCCCTGCAGTTGTTCAATGAGTAACACGGTTGTTAAGTCAATCCAGCCTCATTGACCTGGATTGTCAGAAGGTCACAACAAGGGATCATGTGACACACACACCACCAGGACGCTGCCACCGTCGTAAATACGAATCGGTTGACGAGCTTCCGAATTTTGATCAGGGGACAAACGGGTGCTGCAACGATTGTCGATCTAAAAGCGGTCATTTTATTCAATACTGTTTTGTGGCTTTGAACTGTCACTAAATGAATTGTTGTAAGTCGAGGATTACCTGAATTGTACACTGCCCAGAGCCCTTTCCGAGGAAAATGGGCAGTTAAGAAATAGGAAATATAAATAAACTAGTTCGATACCCGTGCTTCGCTATGAAACTATGTGGTGGGGCTTAGTTTTTGGGGAGGAAAATAAGGGGGGGGGGGAATTCTGCCTCTGCCTACCAGCATCCATCGGTATTCATCTGGCTAGCATCCTGTTAGTGTTTGGGAGAGTTGAGGGCTGTTTGGAAACCAAAACAGTATTTGCTGTGTGAGCAAGGAGACAGCAAGGAGCCTGGGCATGGCTTAGCTCAACTGTTCTGGACTAAAGCTGCTTGGTGCTCTGAAACTGAAACTCCTCTGCTTGTGTTTTGCATTTGGAACAGATTTCTTTTCAGGTGGGGAGGGGGAGTAGAACTCCTTAGCATCAGAGCATGTTAATAGTAATAATATAGGAAATACTAATGCTCTGATGGTCATTTTGAAAAATCCTTTCTTAGTGAGCACCTAGAAGCCAAGAGGAACCTACGTGCCAAATTTCAAGTTTGTAGGCTTTACGGTTCTAGAGATTTTGTGATGATGGATGGATGGATAGATAGAATACACTACAAGGCCTATCCACAAATTTCATATTTTACAGATCAGGGTTCAGTCTTGCCTTTTGCACGTGATCTTGCCTCGGCCTGTTGGTGGTGTGGTGCTTTTCCAGAATTTTAGGCCAGTTCCAAAACTCTGTACTCACCTTGACAAGACCTGCAATCCCAGGTTCCTTGCAATTGCTGTGGTAGAAAAAAGCGTCCTCTCCAACTTTCATATCCCGCAGGAAATTCCGTGCCTGCCAAAGGAGAAGAGTGAATTTCCGGTTTTTGTGTGTGCAGGAAACAAGCCGCAGCTCACATGCTTTTCTATAAGCCCCACGACAATCTATATTACTCCAGTTTTAGAAGTTTTTTTTTAAAAAAATCCAGATTAGCAGAGTTGGAAGGGACCTTGTAGGTCATCTAGTCCAACCCCCAGCCCAAGCAGGGGACCCTACACCACTTCTGACAGATGGAAATCTAGTCTCTTCTTGAAAGCCTCCAGGGATGAAGCTCCCACAACTTCCAAAGGCAACTTCTGTTCCATTGGTTGATTGCTCTCACTGTCAGGAAATTTCTCCTTATTTTCAGGTTGAATCTCTCCTTGTTCAGTTTCCATCCATTGTCTGGCTTCCAGGTGCTTTGGAAAATAGCTTGACTTCGTCCTCCTCTCTATGGCAGCGCCTCAGATATTGGAAGACTGCCATCCTGTCTCCCCTGGTCCTTCTCTTCCCTGGACTAGCCAGGCCCAGTTGCTGCAAACATTCATTGTATATTTTAGCCTCCAGTCTCCTAATCATCCTGGTTGCTCTTCTCTGTACTTTTTCTAGAGTCTCAACGTCTTTTTTTATAGTATGGTGACCAAAACTGGATGCAGTATTCTAGGTGTGATCTTACTAAGGCTTTATAGAGTGGTATTAGTACCTCACTTGATCTTGATTCTTTGTTATCCTTTGTTAATGCAATTTAGGATTGCGTTGGCTTTTTTGGCTGCTGCCAAATAAAAATACAGTATTAGCAAAAAATGCCATTATAATGAATAACCATAATGAACCATTGCTTTCCCATCTCCCACTAAGCCATTTTTAGCTCACAGGTTGCTCAGTGAGCAAGAAACAGCTACGTTGACATATCATTGTAAATTGGTTTGGCTTTACCTTGGTCCAAACTTAAACGTAAACTGCAAGAAGTGGAAATTCATAGATTAAAAGCAGACCTTAACTGCTCCCTTAAGGGATTTTGATCCCAAAGCAAATATTCTAAAAACTGGTTAATTTCAAATCTATCCCATTCAAGATATTTTACTTGTAGGTGATCCTCCATTTATGAGCACAGTTGGAACTTGAATACTTATTACTAAGCAAGGCATTTGTTAAGTGAGCCGTGGCCCATTTTATGACTTTTTTTTTTGCTGTGGTGACTAAGTAAATCACGCTGTTGTTAAGAAAATCTGGCTTTCCCCAAAAGCTTTGCTTATCAGAAGCTGGCTGGGACAATCACAAATTGTAATTACATGTAATACACTTGTTAAGCACCCAAATTTTGATGCTGTAACCATGGGGAGGCTGCAATTGTTCTAAGGACTGGTTGTAAGTCATTTTTTTTCCCACTGCTGTTGTAACTTCTAATGGTCATTTTAAAAAATGGCCGTGAATTGAGGATTTCCTCTCTTCTCACCGTATGTTTTTCAGGGAAAAAGAAAAAAGCAACAACAAACAGGAGCTTCTCAAAGATATGAAACCTTATCTCCGGTTTCCCATTTTATAAGTTGAACAAAAACTGACACACATATATATATTTCACCACCATTTTACCTGATAATTCCTGACTCCATCCCAACAAGCCCTTTGGTTAGGCTCAGCTTTCAAGTCTTCAATGCCAAACTGGTGAACGAAATGGTAAAACATCGCATGACTCAAAGCACGGCCATTTTCTCCCATAAAATATTTAAATAGTTTGAACTGAACATGATATATCAAACTTTAAAAAAAGAAGACAAGGGAGAATAAACAGTAAAATATAAATGAATATAAGCGAGGTAATATTAGCTAAAATAATTATCCTTCCTTCCTTCCCTCCCTCTTTCTCATCTTGCTTGCTTTCCTTCTCTCCTTTCTTTCCTTCCCTCCCTCTTTCTCATCTTGCTTGCTTTCCTTCTCTCCTTTCTTTCCTTCCCTCCCTTTCTCATCTTGCTTGCTTTCCTTCTCTCCTTCTTCCCTCCCTTTCTCATCTTGCTGCTTGCTTTTTTCCTTCCTTCCTTCCTTCCTTCCTTCCTTCCCTTCCCTTCCCTTCCCTTCCTGTCTTTCTTCCCTCCTTTCTCATCTTGCTTGCTTGCTTTTTCCTTCCTTCCCCTCCTACCTTTCTTCCCTCCTTCTTTCTCATCTTGCTTGCTTGCTTCTTTCCTTCTCTCCCTCCCTCCCTCCCTCCCTCCCTCCCTTCCTTCCTTCCTTCTCACCTTCCCCTTGGAGCTCTTGGAGCTTGAAGGTTTTCTTGCAGACATTTTGTTGCCCAACTAGGTGACCCCGTCAGTACTAGAAGGGCAGTACCGATGTTCTTTGCCTCTTACGATAATATTCTTTTAGAAGGAGTAGGAATTGTGGGTTTATGTCCATTTTTCTTGGCACGCCACCCTTTATTAGAAGCTAAGACATCCTGGCTACCAAACAGCCCCCCTCAACTTGGACTCCATCACTGAGAAAGGGCCTAGAACCACCAAAGAAAATAAGAAGGGGGCCAAGCTCCCCCACCCACCCATCCTGCTCTTCCCTTTCGTTTCTATTGTTTCAAACTTTCATCTCTACCACCAACTCATAGAAATTAAAAGGTAACCTGCTCACCTTCATATCGACTCCATTTTGTAACCTACTCTCCGGTTCCGACTTCATAAGCCAGTGACTATAAACTGCCTTGCTTTTCTCCTCAATTCCAGCTTCTTCTTTCAAGCTTGTCCCAGTCTTTCTCATCCCAGAACGGGTTAGTTTGGATCCCTTCTTCTGGATCTCAGTTTTAGCCCATTTGGGCTGTTTGGCAGCTTAAGGTGACAAAACACAGAATGATGAGTGGATTTTGTAGAGATTCTCGGTCATCCAGGTCGTGGCTGTCCCAAATATGCTTTTTTTTCAGGAGGCAACTGGACTTTCTTTGTTTTTTTCTTTTGAAGATATTTCACTTCTTCTTTTTTTGGGGGGGGGAATAATTTTTACTGAACATTTTTCAACAGGTTATAACACTTGTACACTCTTTACAACACTACAGCATCGCAAGTACTCATATATACATAATAATTACATTGTTAATCTTTACTTTTATTTTCTTGTGTCAACTCAAAAAATATTTCTATGGTCTTTTTAGAGTTGCCAACAGAAAGGGAGGGGGGAAGCAGTGTAGCAGTTGCAAACCGAAACTGCATTCCATAAATGTTTTCAAAGATAGTAACTAGGTGACTGAAGTTTCTGCCGTGCAAAAATCTAACTGGAGAACATGATTGATGACTCTTGGCTATGGATGTGTCCCATTGGAGAATATGAATTACGATACACCCAGGGGGTTGGGGGAAAAACCAGGGTCAAAGGTGACAATGAATTATGTGTCTCGGAGTCGGCTACACCCAGGCAGTGCCGGACATTTTAACTCCCAATAAATCCTTTTTAAGTTTTGGAAGTCTGGGGCTCGAGACTCATGATTTAAAAGGGGGTAACTGCCGGAATCCTGACATTTAACCAATTGTACCATGAGTCCCAGACCAAATAGTTTGACCTCTATCTTTTAATTCTACTGTAAGCTTGTCCATCTCTGCGCAGTCTAAAATCTTTTTTATCACTATCCCCTCGGAGCGTATGCTGTCGTGTTTCCAGTTTTGTGCATACCCAATTCTGGCCGCAGTCATGTGCAAAATAATATATTATCACGCCCACCCAGCAACTGGGCAGAGAACTCGTTGCTGTAATGTTTGAACACCCAAGTGATGTTCCATGATGTGAAAAGCAGACTCTACATCTGCGGTAGGGATGGTATTCTACCGGTTCGGCTCGGTTCCGCCACAAGTCTTAAAGTTGCCAACTTTGGAGACCTCTGAGTTAAAGCTTACTGCAAATTGGAAAATAGGCCTGGTTGGAGGAGAAGCATATACTTTAAAAAAGGAAATCTAGAGAAGGTCCTTTAAGGGGAAATATCCACTCACCCGTCAAGGCTGGCTGGCCTCTTTTCTTGCCACAGGCAGGCATTCTTTTTCTGCCAAAGAGTAGATTGGGCACCTGTAAAAAAGAAAAGAAGATTTCACTTGTGAATCAGTGGAAACCTTCTCCGATTGGCAGCTGCTCGGTTTGGTGGAAGATGGGTGGCTACATCAATGTTTTAAATCAAGGGTCTTCCAAATTGGCAAGTTTAAGACTTGTGGACTTCAACTCCCAGAATTCCCAAGCTAACATGACTGGAGGAGGGATTCTGGGAGAGTTGAAGTCCACAAATCTTAAAGCTGTCAAGTTTGAAGACAGCTAAATAAATAAATAAATAAATAAACAAACAAACAAACAAACACCCAGCCTGGGTCCCCAGCAGCCAGTTTAATTTCTAGTGAAAGTTCAGGTTTCATTTCCTTTTCATATTTGCTACTCCTCGGGGCTAGGAAGGCAGATCTACCTGGATGTAGGAGACCCACAGATTAGAAATGCGGAGTTCAGGAGATAGTAGTGCGTGTTTGTTGCAGTAAGTAACCATACAATAGAAAAACTTAATATTAAACCATTAGGCCAATGCTCATTGTATAACTAGCACTTTGAATGAATTGCAGTGGTTCTGTTTTATGTTATTATATTTTGGACAAATGTCAAAATGTCCTTATGCTTGTAACACGGACATCCTAAAATGGCAATGAATACTGATAGAATTTTCACTTTTCCCTTGTTCTCTTCAATAGTTAAACCTTCCAAATATTGTGCATAATTTTTAATAACATTGCATAAAGATGATTGCACTGAAATAATGGTTTACCAAGGAAGGAAGGAAAGAGGGAGGGAGGTTGGAAGAGACCTTGGAGGTCTTCTAGCCTAACCCCCAATTGGTTAATTGTTCTGATAGAGATAGATAGATAGATAGATAGATAGATAGATAGATAGATAGATAGATAGATAGATGATAAATGATAGACAGATTATATATAGAGAGAGTGTGTGGTAGGTAGGTAGGTAGGTAGGTACAGATGAGAGAGAGAGAGAGAGAGAGAGAGAGAGAGAGAGAGAGAGAGAGGTAGAGAAGAAGATTAGAGATAGATTAGAGAGAGAGATACCGTAGATAAATAGATGATCGATAGATACATAGACAGACAGACAGACAGACGCGTGGGTGGGTGGGCGGAAGGAAGGAAGCAAGGGCAAAGCTGCATGCCTTCGGTTGAATAGAGGCTTCCCTTGTAAGTTAATGCTGCAGAGACAATCGCCCGTCAAGAAGGGGAAGAAGCGCCTCGGCCGGCTCTGCTCTCCGTCCCCAGCAGCCGCCTCCCCTTCCAGGCCCGCCTGCAGAGTCCGGACGGGCGCCGCTGCTCCCTCGCAAAACCGCCGCTGTGCCTTTAAGAGCAGCGCCTTCCCTTCCAACCAATCAGCAAGCCCCGAGCCGGAGACGCCCATAGACCAGAACGCAAAGCCCATCCCACTTTTTTTTTTTTCCTCCGTCGCGAGCGCTTTCGGGATTGGTAGTTTTTTTTTTTTTTGGGGGGGGGGGGGAAAGAGCTTCGCCGGTCGGGGACGGAGAGCCGGCGGGAGGGGCGTGGACTTCAACACCCACAAGGCCGTGCGGCCGCCCCAGCCGGAGAGGACCGGCGAAGCGCCTTGCAAATATGGCTTGGAGGGGCTGTTTGAGGTTGGGGGCTCGGCTGCGGGGCTCTGCCTGGGGGCGCAGAGGGGTTGCCTCCTGCATCGACCGTAAGGCTCCAGGGGGGCGGGGAAAGATGGGGGGGGTGAATTGGGGGGCGGGGGCAAAAAGGACACTTAAACCTTCCTTGCCTTTCCAAAAAAATAAAATAAAAATAAAATAAACCATTGCAAAATTGGCTTGCCTAGCTCTGCAGGCGGAAATCCAACAGGTTCGTGCTTTCAGGGGGCTAGGAGCGCCCCGCTGCAGCCTTTTCCCTAACACGAAGCCCCTCCCTCCCCACCTTGGTTGAATTGGACTACAGTGCCCATCATCCGTTGACTGCCCTAATGGCCTTGGTTACCCCCCAACGTTGGAGGGCGTCAGGTTGGGGAAGGGTCGTTGGGCTGGGAGGAAGGCCGTCTTGGCGGAATGTGCCTGGCTTGGGGGGGGGGGGTACCGAGGCTTGACAGCTGTTAGCCCAGGGACGGAGGGCAACCGCCTGCTTCGAACCTATGGACAAAGTTAGCCAGGAGAGGGTGGTCGGAAAGGCTGCTTCAACCTGTTGAACTTCGGGCCAAAGTGGGACGGTTAACTCTTGATGTCCTCGTAGCAGGAGGGAACCTCCAGATCGGGTCCCCCGAAGCAGGTTTTGGTTGTAAAGGGACAGGGGGCTGGATTTGGGGAAGGTTGGGGTGGAAGGTTTAAAGGGGCAACTTGCACAAAAGATGGCCTGCCTTGTAAAAAGGGAGACAAGTGAGAAAGAAGCTCAGAGTAACTTCTTGGTGGAGGGAAGGAGGGAAGAAGGAAGGAAGGAAGGAATAGAGCAGGAGGAAGGGAAGGAGGGAGGAATGTAGCCTGAGGAAGGGAGTGAGGGAGGAAAGGAGGAAGGAAGGAATAGAGCAGGAGGAAGGGAAGG